GCAACGGTAGCGCGTCTGACTCCAGTTAATTTAGAGCAACGCTTGCCTGCAGATTCTCTGAAATGCCGGAGTGGGTTGTCTGCTAGGCCGAAGGCATCAGATTCGCGTCCACGTCCAGTGGCAGGGCTACCCAACAGTCACCGATGAGAAGTGCCTTTGCGCAAGCAGCAAGCAGTGATATCTGGAGTCTGATAGGTCAAGACCGGACTTGGAATAGCAACTGGGCAACAGCCAGGATTACAGATGCTGCGCTCCCGTTGTCTCTACAGGTACTCTCACCGTCACGTCTTGGTCCGTCAGCTTCCAGGCATTGTCAGGCCAAAAAAGCAAGGGCGACTTCTTGAAGCTTGCTTTGATGCTCTGCAGATTCTAAGCCTTTCAGTATGCTGTGCTCTGTATGCAGTCTCGTGAGAGAAGTGAGAGGAGCTTTGAAGGGGTCTTGCATGGTGCGCTAAACTGAGGCAATCATCTTTGGCTCGCAGAGACTTGCAGGGTCACATCGTATTGTCAGCTGCTGACACTGTTCAAGTAGCTATCGCAGCTTCATGAGCAATTATTTCGCACATTGTTTCAACAAGCGACTAGCGCGAAATTATACACTGCGCCGCGCGAGCTGATACAGTGGGCACGACAGGACTGCACACTGGCAAGCATGGATACGGATAACTTTCCGCACAGTTGTGTTGCGCATTGTCGAGTTCAGGCGCGATGAAGCCCAACTTGGTGCGATGCTTATCTTCCCAGTTGTGACGGCATGCTGCTGTTTAATGCTGCAAGCATCTATAGAACTTCGTGGCTGCAGCCACACAGAATCCTAGATGTTTGACGGGCCCCGCTGATGCCTGCGATTCATGATCTGATCATGCCTTTGGCTTGTTCCTATCACTCAAATCAGAATGATGAATGGGCTTGCAAGATGCTATCCGTACAAGCGATGCTAACAGCAGCACAACTTTACGAACCGCTTGCCGAGGCAAACAAAGAAAAAGAACAGGATGGCAAGCCTAAACTTGCAAGCAGAACCTCCAGCACCGAGGTTGCAAACAAGGCTTGCGCAGCGAGGGTGCGCAAAAGGGAGCAGGAGATGCTCCGATCGCGCATCCGCAATGTCAAGCCGCAGGTGCGGTTGGCAACTGCCCAATGTTGTTTCAGTGTGTTGCATGACGGTTGTCGTGGTGTCTTGCTCGCTGAAAGCTGGCAGATCGACACGCGACCACCTGAAAGCATGGCTCTCGACCACGTGCGAAACAATCTGAAGCGGGTGCCATGCTTACATAGAGTTTGCTTCGGGTAAAGTCGTCCAAGGGTACCTGGCGTCAAGCCCGCAAAGAATACGTGACAGATGGCCAATAAAACATTTTAATAATTGCTGCCTCAGACAAACGTTCGACATGTCAAGAAAATGGTGGACCTCAGACATTGGGAATGTCCAGTACTAGCCACTTTGACCAGGAACAGCTTCTTGAGGAAAGGCTGGGTGCCTTGAATTGATCTTTTTTCGTCCCCTGCACGTGCAGCGGGCAGGTACCATGCCATTGATCGTGACAACCGCATTCTTTTGCAGAAGATGCAGCTTGGTCGAAGAATACTGCCCAAGCTCGGCTGAGAATCACTTCAGGGCGGCTTCATGCGTGAGTGCTCGAACAAGACAATCCCACAGGTCAGACATCATGAAGACACCATCCGCGAAATCCGGCCTTGGCGGTAGACTAAGCATTGATCGGGCATGTTAGCTGACAATGCCGATGGTAAGTGCCGCTTATGCGAGGCGTTCAGAGTAGCCCGACCAGTCTTACGCGAGATGCTCGAAAAGCAGAGCTGTCGCGAATTACACAGGCGCGCGTTCAAACAAGTTTGGTCTTCTCTGCCAGCCTTGCGTCAGAAACTGAGGAAAATCTTGCTATCCTGAAGCGCATCCAGCAGGCTCATATTGATATGCTCATGCAAGAAGTCCCTGGATCCTGGGAAGTACGGGACATCTGGGAATTACAGTACATTAGGGCACCTAGGTTGTGCATGGTTGTGCAAGATTTCCTCCAACAGCAGTATGGATGATTTACAAATGGTCTTTACCATTGCAGGCGCAGCCCGTGTACAGTCACGTGGAATGGGATGACTCGTACCGACGCAGTCAGACCTACTTGAAGCGGTACCGGCTCGTTTGTTGCATATGAAAGCTGCCGTTCAATGCTCGAAGGCTGACTTTCAACTTGCTTGGCAATGCATCCCGTAGCCGTTGAGCGTCTCAAATCTAGAAGCGGGGTCCGTCCGCCTGGAGGCAAACCCTGATGAATTGCACTCCGGGCATGCAGAGATGGCACAGTCACACCTTTTTCTCACCCAAATCCTGAAGCCATTTGGATACTACACGGCGTGGGCTCCCGCCATTGAATGACTGAAAATAAATTGCAGGCAGGCAAGCATGGCAATGAAATACTGATAGAGCAGCAGCTCCGTCAAACGAAAAGCAAGTGAAGTAAGCTGGGATGCAGCTTCATGCAGTTCCATGCAGTTCACTGCGCATGAACCCCAAAAGAAGTCATTCAGGCTTCTAAATCCAAATCCTTTCGAGCCTCAGCTCAGGATTCTGTTTCGCATAATACCTGGTGACCTGCAACTCATCAGAGCTCCCAAAACTCCTGCGTTCCATTGCGTTCCGCTGCAGCTTGCAAGAGCAAGCGCAACCAGAAATGCATATGTTCTATTATGTTGTTATCCATAACTCTGGAAAGTCTGTCATCTAATTCCTAAGAGTCAGCACCGGCTTCGCTGGCAACGGCAGGAACTGGTCTTTAGAATATGTTGGGTTGAATTTGGGGCCTCGAGAGAGCCGGTTTTGGGGATTTCGTCGAGGGCTTCAGCAGCTTAGAGTCGAGCACTCGTTCATTCATTTGCGTCAGGCAACATGCCATTCGAGTTTGAGCTCCCCAGCAAGCCTGTGCTTGTGGCTGGCGGGCCCAGCGCTCGGCGATCGAGCATGCAGAACTGCAAAAGACAGAAACGTACGAATTTGGTAGCTTCAAGCTCGCAGGTGTTTCTGAACTAACCTCTGTAGCTAGTCCAGGCTCGTGCAATCAGCAGACTTGACGTGTCTGAGGTTCGGAGGTCCTGCTGTGATGTTCATCGCCCGAGGCTTGTGAGGTTCTCGCTCTGCGACTCTGCAACTCTGCGATAGGATGTGGCCCACAGCTTTGCTTGGCTTAGTTGTCCTTTGCAAAGGTGACACCGTTCCGAAATGGACTCACTCTTGGCAGGATGCTTAGTGCGTAGAAGATGGCTGCAGTACTAACGCAAGTTTTACGCCACGCTATTTAGAGGACCTCAGATCAGACGTGCGTGGGTTGCACAGGCGCCTCCAGTCCCGCAAGTGCTATTAAGCTCTACCAGGAGGCGCCGCTACTCAATCACCTCAAGATTCACATGCTAAATGTTCCGAGAGCGCAGCAGCTGTAGTGGCCAGTTCTACAGGTACTCCGTCATTGGATGATGTTCCTCATTTCTTTTAGCAGCTCTCGCAGCCAGGTTTTTGCACAAGGCTTTGCCAAGGGCTGGACCGGTGACCTGCTCAGCGCACTGCGTTGGAGAGACGTCATCGTATGTCATCGCAAAGCTATTCTTATGTGCGACTGAGGTGGTGCGTTTACAGCAAGGGCTGCGTGCCCGCAGTTTTTATGCTTAGGTGGGTACCCCAGCAAGGAAGTCCTGTTTAGCCTGTTTGGCTTAGCTGCTTAGGTCCAGCATACCACTTCTATGCCTCCTTCTCTGGTGTCGGCGCGGGCTGCAGAATCCTGCAAAACCACGTTTGGTGGCATGCTTTACGTAGAGCAGAGACGCTACATACGTCCAGATATTCCTGGAAACTAGTCTGAGAGGCACCAAGTGCTGACCAGTTGCTGCCTCTGTACGGGATATGGCAGCATCCACGGTTTGTTCTCGGAACGTCGCTTCTTTCAAAGGAAACTTTTCGCGAGGCAGCCCACCTTAAAAGACCGCCTGAAGGCCACCAACATCACTATGGACACTACAAAGACCTCTTGGTTTTCCATGCAGCCTCATGAAGGAATCAAGGCCAACGTGATTTAAACATGCAAGACACAAAGTACCATTTCCTCGTATGCGAATACGGAGAATGAAAAGTGTTCTTTTTTTCTGCAGCAGCCTTACGGAGCAGGCATTGCTACCATTTGCTACCAGCCACCAAAGAGCCCAAAAATGGAAGGGTCCGCGCATGTTCGCGCCAGCGTTTCGAGGTTCCTCGCAGGAGTCGTGCAGAAAGCTTCGAGCTGGCAAATCCCTTGAAATGGCACTTTCCTATCACAGGAATAATGCTGCTTTGTGATTCAGGCTTGCGCATGATAATGACCACGGAGATTCAGCTGTCCAATTATTTAATTCGCAGGCGGTGGTGTGCTCCTCACCAGCCTCACAGAGGTGCCTGCTGCATCCCCTTGACGTTGTTGGGACCATGTCCATGCCCAGACCTTGATTGTCTATGGCGCGGAGACAAAGAATGCGCAGCTCGCCATGAATCAGAAGAGCCGCAGCCCGATGAATGTAGCTGCCAAGCGCAGCAGTGCACAGCTCCAGAAGCCTGCGAGGTCCTGGCAGCATACCTTCTGTCCATCCGTCATGGAAGGCAATTGCTCAGCTGGAAAAGCACTGAGCCGCGTCAAGTGCACAACTATGCCAGCCTTTCGGCCCTGGATTCGGCATCCACGTCTTCAGGAATGTGATTGCCACGGTGCGCCAAAGCTACCATGCTGCTCATGCATGTCCACGCTTTGCAGACTCAGCTTTTCAGCTCAACCGTCGCAGGCAGGTCTCCGCATGTTCTGTACCCCTTGCACAACCGCCATTGAGAAGGCATTCGGGGTATACTGGCATGCTGCAATGGTTCCACGGCATGCAGTCATGAGGTGAGTGGCACCAGCAACTCCATGCACACATCTCAGATATCAGGAAGCAGGCGCGAAAGCAGCTGGCAGCCTTGCTTCCAGCTTCAGGACCACTTTGGCGGGTGATTTTGCAGGAAACGCAAGCTGCTGAAAGTTTTAGAGAATTCAGGGCGCCAGCCATTGCAAGCTGATTGTAGGTGCTTCCCCGCTCAGGTTTGCGCTGCGTGTCTATCGGCACCTGTCCATCAGCTTTATGGGTACGCAGTAACAACGCCTGAGCTGAGGACTGCAAGCTGCATGTTTTTCCATGATGTCCAGAGTCAGAACCGTCAGGACTCTTCCTGCTTCAGAACAGAGGGAAAAGATGGTTTCGCCTATATCTCAGAGCCGCCTAAAGCCAACGGAGTGAATCTCTCTCAGTTCTCAGTCCAGCCAGTGTAGCCTTCCGGAGGAGCGTGAGCATCCGCGTGCTCTGAAGCTTTCAATCTGTCGCAGCTGTTGCTGAGCAGAAGTAAGGACAGGTGTTTTTGAGGAACAGGTGACTTCAGAACAAGGACCAAAAGACAAAGCAAGACAAGCAGGATAAAGCTCTGGTATGCGCCTATGCGTTGCAGAAGGTTTCTGCAGCGGCCTTTCTCATTTCAACTTGCTCCAGCGATCAAGGCAGCAGCGGATCCCAACACACTCAGCGCGTTGCAGAAAAGCAAGTAGATCGATGAAACCATGCCAGCTTAAGACGACGGGTCCCAACACGCAACTCCAACTTCAATGCCCGCCAGGGCCAGTAAACCTACCAGAGCTTGCCGTCACTCCCACACGGTCAAGGTCAGAGCCATGGCCAACGAAGCCCACAACTTTCAGTACAGCTAACCTCGATGAATTCAATTGCTGCTTCATCCCATGTGCGCCTACACCATGCTGACGGTTGAAGTGTTGGGGTGCCTTCAAGCTGCTTGGTGTGCGGTGTCTGTCTGCAACGGGAGTGTGCACCTAGTCGGGCGAGGGTCGCACCTCTGAAATGGATACATGTCTGGGAGCTCTGCTCCGGACCCATGCAGAGCAGCTGCGGCAGACCCAACCTTCAACAGCAAGAGTCAGGATCCATCCGTACCTCAATTCTCTCGGAAAATTTGATCTTCAGGAATCAAAGGCTGCTTGTACTCACAGCGTAGGGTCTCGGCTCTCTCGAGCCTTGAATCATTGACTGCCATGTGCATTCTAAACCTGCAAAGCAGTATTAACTCAACGCGCTCATAGCGACCAGAACCCCAAGTATTGACGCCGTCAAACGCCTCAGATTCAGCGAGCTGCTAGCCTGCAAACATTTACACAGTCCTGGACTGCTGCGTGTTTTTATGAAGCGGTGCATGTTCCTTTGAAGTTACTCGTCAAGACCGCTTTAAGCAAAGAGGCAACCAGTGGCTGATGGTTCAGACTGCTTTGCGGCAAGCCAGGTGTAGTGAGGCTTCCAGCGCCATCTTTTTTTATGTGGAATGAAGGAATGTAAGGCGTCTGTCTGCATGTCTTTTGGCATGTCCCTTCGCAGAAACATGTAGTTGGCTGCTGAAGCTGAGCAAGGTTCTTGAAAAAACAGTACTTGGACACATCTGGTGGAAGGCTCCTGCAGTCGCTTCTAGCTGCCAAAAGTGGATGTGCTGACCGTCACTACAACAGGACAAGGCTCAGTGGGCTGGTGCCACGAGATCTCTTCATGCGGAGCATGTACGTGGCAGTGGCCTACACCATGTGCGCCTTAGCCGAGCAACCCGCGAAGAGTGGCTTTGCAATGCTTAGGAACCCAACCCTTCACAGTGTATGCACGGTGCACGTATGGAACACTGGCATCAATGCAGAGGTACTCCACTGTCGAGCGAACTTTGGTGGCCAATTGGCCTCAATGAGATGGGAGACTTCTGGCAAAAGATTTGGAATTTACTATGCTTGTTCAAAAGCCAAAGCCATCCGGCGTTAATCCCAGTGAAGTTTTGGCCGTGCCCGTGCAGACAACAGATGCTCAGCCAGGGCAGGCGATTATGCTTCTGCAGCCCCCCCAGGGCGTCGTCCTCTTACACACGTCTATTGCTCGCAAACCCCCACATAAGCTCGTGCTGCAGAAGACACACCCGTGCGGGCATTGAAGCAGTCGGCGGCAGTTTTCCACTTACACAAGAACTGCCCTGCCAAAGCGGCAAGGGTAACGTCAGGCTAGCATTGACTGCGCAATCCGATCTGCACGAAGAGCATGATCAAAAAGATATGTTGAGTGGAAGGATCGGCATAAATCTGATTTAGCCCGATGATGAATATTTCCACGCTGGCCTGGGGTCTGGCCTCGCGGCTCCAAGATATCAGGAAGCTGCCTTCACTTGACCAAGCTTTGACAAAGCAGGAACAGCTGTGAGTATCCTCTCACCTTGACAAAGAAGAAGGTGCCGGCGAGGCCTGAGATTACAAATTGATATCGAGAGGAGATAAGAGACTTTGTGCGCTTCAGGTCCAGCAGCTTAACGCCTCTGTCTGGAAAGGCCGTGCAAGCTCACTGTTTGTTTTGGGCAGATTGTGCGATGTGCGTGACCTGGCTGTTTGAAAATGAAATTGCATGAGAGATTCACTTGCCAAGTGATAGCATCTGAGAGCGGCAACTCTGTGGCATGCATGGCCAGGCCAACAAAGGCATGGCAGCCACTACAGGTGCAACACTGTAACGTAGCGTTCCGGAGTTACGTTTGTTTCAGGGATTGCAACTTGTCCAGAAGCCCGGCTGCTCTGTCGGGGGGGGAAAGGGTTCCAAACGGCGCATGTGACTGGCAGGCTCTCTTGGCTCGCTAGCTCCAGGAGAAGTTGGTCAGGAGACTGCGGCCGATGATCTGAGGTGCCTAGCGCAATTCATCAAAGACCCCACGCGCTGCTGCAGCCGTCTGGGCACATGTTATACGTCCGAAGGTACGTTCTGAAGGAGGGCAGGGACATCAACGGCGTATTCTTCTTGTGCGAGATGGCCAGGCACTGAGGAGCTCAGGGTTCTAAGTGTGCTCTGCCGAGGCTTGGCTTAGGCTCAGGCTCTGTTTCGTTTAGCAACAAGTTCACCAAAGGCCACCGATGGGCGCAGCCTGGCAATCACCGCGTCGGAGCTTCAGCTTCCTTTTGGAAGGCTGCTGTGTGTGTGTGTGTTGGCTGACAGCCTGACGCGGAGGTATGATGCAGATCAGAAGAATACCTTGGAGTTGCTGGTGAATGAGAAGAATCACCGCAGGTATACTGTCTCATCACTTGCATTCTCTCCTTTTTGGGGGCAAGCACATTGGTGGGCAGGTTGTACCGAGACCATAACGGTGACTACCGGGCCATTGCCGCCAAACTCTGCGTGGATGGTGCGCCTGATGATCGATTCCAGCTCTCTGACATTGTTTCCTGCTTTGAGTGCCCAAGGTGAGCAGCTCTACATCAATCATGATGGCATGGAAAGAGCCGAAAGGGCTGCCTGACAACTTCAGGCCATGCTTCGTGCTTGGCCACAAGGCTGCAGCAGAGCTGGAGCTGATAAGAATTTAGTGTCCCCTGTCGTGCATTAGGACCCGTAGGATGCTTGAAGGCCACTATTTTTTCGTAGGCGCATGTGTGACTGCTTCAGATACGGTTCCTTTGTCCGGCCTCCCACCTGCATGCCTTGCCAGCGGCAGCCAGGCTGAAGCCAGCTGTCCGTGTCACACCTGTCCAAGGCGATCCCTCAACTGAAGTCTTCAGGTCTGTCATCGAAAAAGTCGGTTTTAGGTAAGCTAGCAAGAGGGATCCCAACGTCAGCCCAAGGCTTGACGTTCTGCTGTCAGTTTGGGCGAAATAGGGCTGTCCTGACATTGCTTTGGCTGCACGCTTTTTGAATTCGGTTGGCCCCTGATAATCTTTCTATGCATCGAGTGCATTCGGCTCAAGCTGTAATGCGAGAGTTCCACCGACAGCTGCTGGGCGTGTCTTTTGATAGTTGAGCTGGTTGCCTGGTTGCATTGGAGCGTTTTCGTGGCATGGCAGCTCAATTTGCGCCAGCAATTGCAACAGGGGGAGGAGGATGGGGAGGGGAAGAGAAGCAGGAAAAGCAGCAGTAGCAGCAGCAGCAGCAGCAGCAGCTCTTCTTGCATTGTTCCTGAAACCGGCGAAAACAGACCGAAAGCCAAGGACAGCCTGTCCTTGGCTTTCAGTCTAAGGACAGACAAGAACTCCAGAATGGCAATGACCGATTTTGTAAGATTGGATGCGATGGTGGCCTTTAAGCATGATATTGTTGGCTAATGAAGCAAAGACAGTGATCATTTTCAGCAAATCGCTTCGCAAACGCAACGTGTTTTGCGCATTACTGGAAAGATAAAAGCCAAGAACGCTGAGAAGGTCATCAGCTTTGGCATTTCGAAAACTTTCGTGGGAAGGGAAAAGCTGACAAAGACTGCCGTATGGCCACCTAGGACAATGACGAAAAAAAGTCATACCACACATAGTAGCTGCAGCTGTACACTAGTTAGATTGCAGTAGCATCAGTAGCAGGAGGTCATACCGGTCAGCAGCTGATGTTGTGCAGGAACCGAAGTTGCAGGAACTCTGGTGACCCAATTCAGCCTCACATGAGCTCGAAGTGGCTTGCTCCACTCCTTACGGAAGGGTTCTTGGACTTGAAGGTTTCCGCTTGAGAGTGTCGTCAAGGCATGTGGCCAAGAGCGACAAAGGGCAATCGTATTTGACCCCGACAACCTTGGCCATGCACGCTGCCGGTTTTCAATCAATTGAAAGAGACAAGCAGGAAGAGAACTTGCAAGCATGGGGTCATAGGACTAATGAAGATGAGTCGGTTTGCTTGGATGCAAATTCTAGCGTCTTGGCGGTCAGAGGCAGAGGGCGCCACTGAGTTGCTATGCGCAGCCAAGGTGAGCTCTGCAGGCCTGGCCGGAGAGGGCAAAGGGCTGGTTTTCAGTGGAGAAATGCAGGCGTGCTGTTGCTGTAGCTATCACTTGCTACTTGCCGACAGGCAGCCAGAACAAGACCTGCTCAGTCCTTACAACGGTGCAGCTTGCCACTGCCCTTTGCTCCCACTGCCTGCTGCAAGGATTTAGAAAGGCTTGGGCATCTTCGACAAGACCCAACGTCAGATAGAGCCAGTGCCTCAAATTGTCATGCACTTTTGCACGCCGCTGGGGCTCTGTTACACAGGCTGCTTTTTGAGCCGTTTCAGCAGATCAGTGTGGCCTCCTGAGTCTAAGTAGCAAGATAGCAGGCGTGCCAACAGGCGTGCCAAGATCTGTGCTGCGGACTTGCTGAGGTCAGTTGCGGCCCCTCAAAGGGGCTTCGGCATGGCTGCTTAGCTTCGAGAGCATAGGCCGGAGATTTCTGAGGCGCATGGCTACAGTTGAGCCTGTTGAGACTTGCAGGTCAGAGAAGGGCCTCTGCTTGGACAGGCAGTTGTTTTGGGGATTTGTGGGGGTTTTAGCGCATCCTGGGGCATGCCCTGCGCGATCCGGATGTGCTTGCACGTGTTTGGCATCTTCTGCAAAAGGTCGCTGCTGAGTCGGCTACGCAAACTAGTTAGCTCCGAGCTTGGAATGAGCTTTGACGTGCTTTTGAGGGGTACAGCCTTTCGGAACTGTGTGATCAGCGTAGCCTCACTTTCGTGCTGCATTCTAGGTATCACCTGCAGTGCATTTTTTGAAGACCAGCCGCGCGGTTTGGATTTGCAATTGACAGACTTCTGGGAGGTGCGCATGTTCTTGCAAAGCTAGACTGAAACACAAAATACCCATGTGATGCCTGCACAGGGGGCAAAAGTTGTTTATACGCTGCCAGCAAGCTGCCCAGATCATCGTCTCCCCATGGCCTCGTGGTTTCGTTATCCTGCTCCACCTCAGGCTGCTGCAACGACTACAATTTCTCCGCTGTGCTCCAAATCGTTGCTGAGGTGATTTGAGCTGGCCCCAGATGTAAGATGGAAGTGTCAGTGGCGGCAGGTGTCAGAATGAGATCTGGCGAGAGGGCAGGCATTCGGGGAGACCGAATTCTTCAGCTGGCCACGTGTTGCGCTTGTCATTCACAGAAAGAGCAGATTGCCTATGTATCTGATGCATGGTCACACACCACACATCAGACATATCACACACATCACACACACCCCTCGTTCTCCTTGTGCTTCACAAACAGCCACGGGCTCCAGGCTTGCCTCGCAGGCCCCAGGTACGCGGCTGATACGCGAACGAGCGGAGCAGGGCTGGGGGCGCAACGCAAGTACCGCAGGCCACAGTTGCTTTCGGTATATAGGCCGGAGTGACCACAACAAGCGATCCCAACTTGAGATACAGACTTGCCACGACAAGACCATATGCAGTTTTTTGCGTTGACAACCTGCCGACTCAAGCTCAGCCGCTGTGCGACGTCGCTCTCCAACACTCCTGGATCCTGAAACTGAAGCCTTCCCTTGTTGTGTAGGGCTTTTGCTACACCTGCGCTCCGAGCTGTGTTGCATGTGGAGTGCATGCCACGGGGAATCGATGAAGGGAATCAACAGCAACGCCCTTGCATGCTGTCATAAGCCGCACTTGCGGCATTTGCCTTTCTCATCCGATGATTTCTTCCACAAAGCATTAGATATCCCTTATGCCCTTGGTCAAGTTCCACAGCTGTGTAGTTTGACATTACATGGGTAATCGTAGTGGACGTGGCTTGGTATCAGGCAAAGGGTTTTGATCCCCATGGTGAGCTTGTACACCTCTGGTTTTCCCATCGACCCGGAAAAGCCAAAGCTCCTCGTGGGGACAGGGCTTGGCAGGAAATCGGACAAGCCATCCGTCATTCCGGCCCCTACCCTAAGCCCCAGGCCCTAAACCGCTAAGCTTCTTCCACGACCCCTTCCGCAGCCAAGAGCATGTAG